TTTGTGGGTGAGTAGCGACCGGTTACTATAACAACACCCTTTGTGTTGTTATTGTAACAACACTAGTCTCCAACCAATAGGAAGCTAGGATTGTGATGACTTTTTATTAGATGAGTTGACCTAGTGTAAAATCAAAGTAGGGGTATAATTGTCATTATGAAAAATCTGTTTAAATAATAAAAAAAATAAAAAAAATATTTTTTTATTTTCTGCCCAAAAATTTGGTCGCCGGAATTCTGCCACCGGTCGCCGAAAACTTGTCGCCGGTCACCGGAATATGCTTTTTGTCGCCGGAATATGCTATTTCTTGCCGGAATATGCTATTTCTTGTCGGAATATGCTTACCGGTGTCGGAATATGCTTACCGGCGTCGGAATCTAGTCATCGGGGCCGGAATATGCCTATCGGCGTCGGAATATGCTGTCTGACGGTCACCGGAGTTCGGTCAACGAACTTCGTTGACCGGTCAACGGACAACGACCACCAGATGTATGGTCTACATTGTGAGATTTATGGTTTGGTTTCTCATATTTTTGTATGCCTTTTGTGGTTTGCTTTATCGTGTTTGTGGTTTGCATTAAGAAGTTTCTGGTTTGCTTTATCGTGTTTGTGGTTTGCATTGAGAAGTTTCTGGTTTGCTTTCAAAAAATTTGTGGTTTGCTTTGGAGGGTTTCTGTTTTGGTTTAATAGATTTTTGGCCTGCATTAGGACGTTTCTGGTTTGTTTTTGTGGTTTGCTTTATCATGTTTGTGGTTTGCATTATGAGATTTCTGGTGTGTTTTTGAAAATTCTGTGGTTTGCTTTGTGGAGTTTCTCGTTTGTTTTAGTAGATTTTTGGTCTGCATTAGGACGTTTCTGGTTTGTTTTTTTTTTGTTTGCTTTAACGTGTTTGTGGTTTGCCTTATGAGGTTTCTGGTGTGCTTTCAAAATATTTGTGGTTTGGTTTATGGTGTTTCTGGTTTGTTTTATGAGATTTGTGGTATGCTTTCGAACACTCTGTGGTTTCTTTACCGTGTTTGTGGCTTGCATTGAGGGGGTTCTAGTGTGCTTTTCGAAATATTTGTGGTTTGCTTTGTGCGATTTCTGGTTTGTTTTAGAGAATTTGTGGTTTGGATTAGGAGGTTTTTAGTATGCTTTTTGTGTCTTATTTTATCATGTTTGTGGTTTGTTTTATGAAGTTTCTAGTGTGTTTTAGAAATATTAGTGGTTTGCATTCTTGTGTTTCTGGTATGTTTTTCGAGACTTGTGCTTTACATTTGAAGGTTTCTGGTATGCATTTTATGGTTTGTTTTACCATATTTGTGGTTTATATTAGAAAGTTTTTGGTGTGCTTATGAGATACTTGTGATCTTCATACCAAATAACGGGATTCACCCTTTTGAGATTAGATGTTTTGAATTGTTAATCCTAAGGATTGGCCAAATGAACCAATCTGTATATTCAAAGAACACAGAGAGAGAGGGATTACTGAGGGATTTCTATTATTTTGATTCATGGGGTTGCTAATTTGTTTTTAAGAGTGTCCCCAAGTAAAGAAGCGACTTTATCGCTGAATTGTGATCTGGGTTGTTAGTTTGGTATGATGTTCAACAATGTTGAAGCCTGTGAGAATGTTTGGCAATAGGGAATGATGTCTTGACCATGATTTTCCCTTAGCATTGCTCGACTGCATGGATGGTGACGGGTGATGTTTGGTTTTCTGCAGGAGCCGCCTGTGGAATCATCTATGCCTAAGGAGTGGACCAATGAGGAGCATAGGCTTTATCTCAAATCCATGGAATCAACTTTCGTTGACCAGTTGTATGGCTACATTGATCCGAAACTCTCGAGGCAACAACAATTCGAAACCATGAGTACCCCTTCTGTTCAGGTAATTGACACAACAAAAACTCTTTCCTCCCAGTTGAGGGGAATCCAGCGGGTCTCAGAAATTCCAAACCAACCTGCGTCGGGAGTGATACAAACGAGCCCCGTCATCATCCCTGAACGGCTCTAATCACCGACGGCTTCCCGAAGAACACCACGTCCAGCAATGTCCACAACAGTGAAAAGGTCATCTCGGGAAAGAAGATGGCTACTACTACTTCGACAACTCATACGCAGAGACAGAACATTCGGTTTCCCTCCTCGCCACCGTAGCTGCCGATCAGAAGCCGAGGTGTTGTTGTACGCCGCCATGGATAATCTGGAACAGAAGCAAAGAAGACGAATCGCGCAGCAGATGACGGTTAGGTTATCGAAAGTAATTGAGATTCACATGTCCAATCTCCGGTGAAATTGAGGCGAATAGGAAGCGAAACGAGAGAAATGACCAGATATTTTCCGGCCGGAAGGGAGGAGGAGCAGCGCCACCGATCTCGCCGTCGATAAATCCGTTTCCGGCAAAAGCGAGAATGAATACTGGCGGCAGTGGGGTTGCAGATCGGTGGGAGAGAAGAGGGATAAGAGAACGCGTGTGGTGTTTAGAATTAGTGTTTTTTATTTAATTTTTTGTTTTTTGTTGGTTTGACATATTTACCCTTGATGTTACTATAACAACACTTATTGTGTTGTTATAGTATCCGCACCCGTGGTGAGTAACCATGAGTAACCCGTCCACATCAGCATGACATCAGCATCCTCTCTCTCCTGGAAAGCCTTTAATTTCCCCCTCTTTAATCTTTGACAGCCGATTTCTCACTCATTTTAAGTCGAAATTTAATTTTTTTTGCACAGTTAGATCAGATTAATTGTGCTCTTCAAAATGATATCCACTTTAACATATTTTTCGAACAAAAAAAATTGACTCATTTTTTACCAGTTTATACCATATGGTATTGACTGGTATTGAAATAAAAGCATACCTATGGTTTGAAAAAAGTACCATGGTGGTATGAACAAACCAAGACTGTAGGATGGTTGAATACATGATAGTAGAAATATATTAATTGTCATTTACGACTTTTAACATTGTATACCACAAGATACCACCCCGTACCAGGGTGGTATTGTATGGTATTGTTTGGTATTTTTTGGTCCTGTAATTTGTTCACCCATAAATTTGTAGATCCAATAGATCATGATGAACTCGTCCCTTCTGTGCAAACGTTTTCAAAAACGAAGAAGATACCATACAATACCACCCCGTACCAGGGTGGTATTGTATGGTATTGTGTGGTATTTTTTGGTCCTATAATTTGTTTACCCATAAATTTGTAGATCCAATAGATCATGATGAACTCATCCCTTTTGTGCAAACGTTTTCAAAAACGAATTAAAAATGAAGAAAATACCATATGGTATTCAGTTGGTACCGAGAAGCCAGAATTTTTTGTTCTAAAAAAATATTGAAAATTGATCTCATTTTGTAGAGCACGATGAACTCGTTCCACCTGTGCAAAAAAAATTAAAATTCGAGTTAAAACGAAAAAGATATGAGCCGATTAAGAAAGCTAGAGAAAATAAAAATGATCTTTAATTCTCCATCCTTAGATTTGGATTTTCTAAATGAAGGGGTCCAGATTTGATTATTGATGGATGCATAACCCATGGTTATGCACCCTATCTTGAGCCCTTTAAAATGGAATACGACTTATTTGTCTGGCTGTGGTTTGAAATTTTAGCAAGACAGAGCCGCCAAATTTTTGGCTACAAGGCACACCACACGAAAAGCCATATTAGCCAAAAACTGGGCCTCACAATCCCATAGGGGTTGTGATTTTCGCTTCCTCCTTCGCAGTCATTAGATCCACTCTCTCTTGGTTTTTCAAATTAACGGTTTAGATTAAATGAAGGGTATTTTTGGAAGAGAAAAACTTACCATGCAGGATCCTTTCTCATTTTCTATATAATCTGATTTCCTAAAAAAAATTCTTCCTCTCTCCTCACTCTTCCCTCTCCCAAGAACCCTAACTGCTCTCTGTCTCTCCCTCCTGCTGCCACCGTCTCCCTCTCGCCGTAGCCGTTGCGTCTCCGCCTCCCATCACTGCCGCACCATAACGCTCTCCCCGTCGCAGCCCTCTCACCTCCCTGCAACTCCTGTCACCGCCATTTCTCTCCCGCCGTCCTCCTCTGCCGCCGCCGCGAGGTAACGACCTCTCCCCTTCCTTCTCCTTTCCTCATTCCTTAATTTTTTTTCCAGCTCTGAGATTTTCCAGATTCTTTATCTTGTTTTTTTATGTTATTCTCTAGTGGTACTGATTTCTGTCTAGTGGTACGGTACTATTGGTAGTGGTAGCGTATCAGTACTCAGTGGTAGCGGTACCAGTGAGTAGTGGTACTGATTTCTGTCTAGTGGTATGCTACCAGTGGTAGTGGTATCGTACCACTATTCACTGGTAGCGGTACCAGTGATAGTGGTAGCGTACCACTAGATGAAAATCAGTACCACTAACACACTAACGTAGTGGTTTTTTTGTAGATGGCCGAAGCAAGTCTGATTGGAGCATTTCACCGGAAAAAGTCGTCGGTCGGAGAAAGTTTGGCTGTCGGAGTGAAGAGGTTGCTGGAAAAGAAAGATATATATATATATATATATATATATATATACACACGCTTATATATATATAAGCGTATTAATTGTAGGATTTAAATTAAAAAAGCATTTAATCTGGGTTTTTAATTTCCAATATGTAATTAATACAAAAATAAATAATAGATTCTATTTTTTTCATACCTAAATTGTCCTTGGATGTAAATCTCACATCCCCTTAGGGAAGTGACGATAACTCATCCCCATAAACTGTAGATAGATTTTACACTGACCCGTGTTAGGGAAGTAGCTAACTGAAGGGCTAATTATAAGTATTGGGGATTCAGATCCTAATATGGTCAAGCTCCATCTGTTTCTTCCGATTCAATGGAGTGTAATGTGGATTCAAAAATAATTAGTACAAGAATAATAACTGTAATCTACACATAAATATAAGGGAATGTAGGCAGAAAAAAATTGCCACGTCAGCCCCTGCTTGATTACCCGCACAATTCGGAAGGCTTTTTACGTAATTCCCTCTTTTAATATTATGTATCTTTTGAACTCTTCGTCTTCCAGTTTTGGCGCCGCTTTGCTCCTGCGATTTTGTGTTCCAAATCCCGGCAGGAGGCGCAAAGTGATCTACGACAGCACCCAATTCCCCCGCCATCGACTCCTCATTCCTTCTTTGTCGGCGGCCAATTCCTTCTCCGTTTTGCTATTGACGGCGTCGCGCTCCTCCTCCAATTTTGTGTTCGAACTCCTGGCAGGAGGATCAGCCACACTGATCGTCTACAGCAGCCCATTCCTCCTCCGATTTTGTGTTCGAAATCCCGGCAGGAGGCTCAGTCATACTGATCGTCTACAGCGGCCCATTCCCCTTCCTTCGAAGCCCCAGGCCGATCTCAGTCGGCGCATCTTTCATCCTCCGTCTTTGTCTTACAAAATTTGCCGAGGAAAGTCCACCCCTGCCGATTAAAAACCGGTGCCCCTGTTCAACATAGTTCCCCTGTGGTCGTTGCGCCCCTCCCTTGCTCACTCTTTGGCTTACAAAATCCGACCCAGAAAATCCACCCCTGCCGATTAAAAACGGTTGCCCCTGTTCAGCTTAGCTCCCCTGTGGTCGTTGGAAGGACCATTGCAACCGAATACAAACGGCGCCCCTCCCTTGCTCACCGTAGCCTACTACCTGTGATCTTTGTGGTTTGAATAGTTTACATGGATTTAGTAGTTTTGTGGTGTCTATGTTATCAAAATGCTTGAGGTTAATTTGGTGATGTGTTATGTAATTGTGGTTTTGGTGTTTGTTGTGTATCAATAATAAATTCGATGGTATTGTGATTCTCATTCCCTCTGTTGCCATGCAACCATTGCGGTGATGCCGCCAACTATTGTCCTATAATGATGATTCTTGAAGACAAAATTCTTCTTCCAATTCCACTCTGCTGTTACTTTCACTGCTCGGTGTTAATAACATGTTTTTCTTTGTGGTTTTGCAGGGTAATAAATCTATGTGTTATTCTTAATGAGTTGGTATTGTGTTTGCCTCGCTGCGGAGAGGCTAGAAGTTCATTCCCAGCATAGTTCCATCGGCAAGTGGCTGCTTCTCGCCTACCAATTTTAGGAACTATTCAATTTAGAAACACCGGTGGCTAATTTAGAAACTTGGGGTAGTCCTCTTCGAAAAGTATTTACCGATTTGCAGTTGTTGCTATGCTTAGTCATTGGTAAGGGTAATTACTCTTTTATTTACGAGTTGTTACCTGGGTGATAATGCTAGGTTCAAGTTATTGTGTGTTTTTGCCGGTAAATTATTGAAGACTGACGCTGAAAATAGTCAGGAACTATATTAATGTAAACAAACCAATTGAAATAAATCCATGAACTATATTAGTGTAAAGGAAACGTTTCATAATTGCATATAAGTTTCGGTCGTAGAAGCTAATTATATAAAATTAGTGCACGCCTGCTATAGCAAATGGTATTTTTTCTTATTTTCCACCATTTTTCCATATTGATTTGATATAGGAGATAAAATAAAAGAGGTTCCCTAACTGTTTTCCATTTGATAACGACATTGTTTAGCCGGTTTAGGATATTGTACTCTGAGCTAAACTCTAAATGATCTGCAAGTCCTGAAGCTATTGACGGGATTAACTTAAAGAGGCAGACTGCTGCATACGTGGTTGACTCTGATTGAGGAGGAGAAGTAGTGTTGGAATGAAGATTTGTCAGATATTGATATGTTTTTGGCTGTGAACCTTATGCCTAACATTATATTGTTCAACCATGGGCTGTTTATGGATGCTTTGATTATTATGAAATTTGGGACTTTAGACTATACATGTTTGATTTTTCAATTTTCAAAGACAGTAGGAATTTGAAATGGGAAACATCATGGTTATGTCGGGTTGATTACATTGGTAGTTCATTATCCATGTGTCGGTGTTATAAACATGTTTTTATTTGTGGTTTTGCAAGGTATAAAGCTAGGCTTTATTCTTATTGAGTTGCTGTTGTGGTCAAACAAGGACAACATTGATGGCTACTAAGCGTCCTCGCGATCCCGCTTCTTCTAGCCAATACCCTCCAGCATTCCCCAAGTCTGCTACTATTAGATGTGATATTTCCTTTCTTAGTTTATTACTGTGTTTGTTTCTTATTCGATCAAATGTTCCAATTCAAATTGTCAATTATATGATTTGTGGAATTTGTTGTGCTTTGTTAGGGAAAGGTCGGGCGATATTTTTCTCGCCTGAACGACCAACACTAGCCGACGTCGACAAGGAAATGTCACGTCTTGAGGGTGGTAGGTGTGCAATTTGTTTCCCTTTGTAATTGCTTTGAATTACATTCTGCCTGTTCTTATTTGTGGTTGCTTTATTCATAGTTATTGATGCGGTGAAAAGTCGACTAAATCTCATTGATCGTCATTTTGCAATTTTCGCTCGGAGGAGAATAAAGTTCCTTTTGGTAATACGACGTATCCATGGAGTACGTGTTTTATCAGTCCCAGGTATGTATCAACCTAAATTTGGTCATTCGGTATCCAACTTTTCTATTTAGTAATTCAGTATCCATTATTTTGAATGTTTGAGCCCATATTATATAATTTTTAGTTATATAGTCCAAAGTCTCCAGCTAATTGTGTATGTTTATAGAACTATTGATTTGGCCTATATAGTATGGGTTTTAGGGCGCTGTAGCTTCATTTGTTACCTGTAATTGCTTGGTTGTTTTTGTTAATTATTGTGATGAAGCTTTTATTATCCATGGAAACCAGATAGCTTCAAATAGGTTTATGCCAAGCTTCTGTTCCCAGTGTTGACTTTTTGGTTTGTGTATTTGATGGGAGTGCTTATGTTATATGGTACATCATATGATGTTCCTTTGAAAATCTTTCAAGCAAAGCGAAATAGAGCAATGAGAATGATTAAGATTTGTGAAAAAGAAAGAAACTTGGAGTTCCTAGAGGATTTCATGGACGAGGTAAGTGGTCTATATCATTTGTATTTTGTTTGTTTAAGCACCAGATTATGTTAATTTATATATATTGTCTTTCGGGTTATCCAGTGGTTGAAGAGTTCTCAGTTGGTCAGCCTGATTGTGTATGTCAATACTGTGGCACTGTGTTTTGGAGAAGTGAAAGCACTCACTCAACTAGGGGACATGTATACCCCGAGTTCACATTATGTTGTAAGGGTGGAAAGGTGAAACTTCCTGAACGACGTGATCCGCCAGAGTTTTTAAAGATGTTGTTGGAATCAGATTCTGCTATTGTTCGACATTTTCGACGACATATATGTCAGTATAACAATCTCTTCAGCTTTATTTCTCTTGGTGGTAAGGTGGATCATTCGATAAATGATGGTCGTGGTGTCTATGTTTATTCCATTGGAGGACAAATCTATCATCGTATAGGGCGGTTGGTTCCTTTTGAGGGAGAGGCTCCTAAATTTGCACAACTATACATTCATGAAACACATAATGAGGTGCAAAATCGCCTTAAATTTGTTTCTACGGGTTCTTCTGGAAATCAATTGTTACATGATGTTGTGGAGAGTCTACAGGTGATGCTGGATGCAAATAATGTTTTGGTTCAAATATTTCGGTATGCTCGGGATCGAATTGTAGAAGATGGTATTCAACCTCTAAAGATTAAGCTTCTTGGTAGGCGGACGATGGACGGGAGAGAATATGATCTACCAACTGCTAATGATGTTGCTGCCTTGATTGTTAATGAAACCGGTGAAGACTGCTTCTTACCTGATGTTGTGGTCCAATATCAAACTATGACATTGGAGAGGATTAGTTTTTATCACCCCAGTTTAATGGCCTTGCGTATCCTCTTATTTTTCCTTATGGTGAGGATGGTTGGCATGGAAATATTAGTTATTCTACAACTTCTCTTGATGATTTTGATCAGAGTAGTGTTTCCCAGTGTGATTTCTACAGCTATCGACTACAAACAAGGTTTGATGAATCTAGCTCATTACTCCTTGCTGGGAAATTATTTCAGCAGTATGTTGTTAATGTGTATGCTTTGATAGAGGCAGAGAGATTAGAATGGATTAGAAACAATCAAACAAAGCTACGCATGCATTATTTCTCTAGTCTTATAGATTCATTCTTACGTGGTGATACCGACCTTAAGTCAACTGGGAAGCGTGTCATACTGTCATCCGGCCACACTGGTGGACCTCGATATAAGTATGAAAATTTCCAAGATGCAATGGCTATCTGCAGGTGGATAGGTTACCCTGACTTATTCATTACATTTACCTGTAATGCCAACTGGCCCGAGATTTAGTTTATGGTTGATTTGATTAAAAGTGATGGGAGGAAAGATCCGGACAGGGCAGATGTGATTGCTAGGGTTTTCAAGTTAAAACTCAACCAGTTCATGTCCGAGATAAAGGAGAAGAAGATATTTGGGACAATTCGTGCATGTAAGTTCTTTTTTTTTTTATTTGGAAAACAAGACCAAATTGTGTTGTACCTGTACTTATAATCCATTGGTTTATACTTCTAGATGTAGAAGCTATTGAATTCCAAAAGCGTGGAATGCCGCATGCTCACATTTTGCTATTCTAGCCCAAGAAGACAAGTTTGTCAGTTCGAATGATATTGATTCTATTATATCAGCTGAAATCCCGGATCGTGCTTTAGACCTGGAGGGATATGATGTTGTCACATCATTTATGATGCATAGCCCATGTGGAGTGTCAAATAGAAATGCTGTATGCATGGTGGATGGTGCCTGCTCAAAGCATTTTCCAAAACAATTTTGTGATCAGACAATTATTGACGAGTATGGATTTGCTAAATATCGTCGACGGGATATAGGTGTGACCTTTGAGGTTAATGGTGGTTTCTTAGACAATCGAAATGTTGTGCCATATCATCGGTATTTGCTGTTGCGCTTCCAATGCCATATTAATGTTGAATTTTGTAATAAATCAAGGTATGTGATACAAACTCTTTACACAATTATTTCGTATCTTTTGTTTAATTTCTATTGTGTGAACTTATAATTCTATGCAACTGAGTTTTTATGGGACAAAGTATTATAGAAAATTGATTGATTTGTTGTCAAAAGACATTTCCTACAGATAATTTGTAGCTTTGGGTTAGAAATAAACATGTTGTAGTCGCAGACCTAATTTTGATATGTAATTTTACTCTCGGCTATGTGTTTTTATTAGTCCCTTTGTTGTATATATTGGGAACTTAATCCCCACAATTATTGCATTAAGAATTCGGCACAGGTTATAGCATATAAGATAATTCCCAACATAAAATATTGCATAAAGAATTGGGTAAATACAATATATTAGCCACAACTATTATGAAGCGGGGAATTATAGCCACAACTATGAAAATTCAAATTATTAGCCATAACTATTGTTGCGGGTCAAGATATGGCTAACTGTCTGTTACTGTTATTGAATTTTTGACGGAGAAGGTCATGTCATCCGC